CAACTTGAGAACTCCCCAAATGTCCTTCCACAATTGAATGGTTCAGCAAAGTGTGCTACGTTCTTTGATAAAAAAGGAACAAACTATTGATGCAGGCAAAAACTTGAATGGTCCTCAGAGAATTATGCCGAACAGGAATAAAAAGCCAGCCTCAAAAGGGTACATACTCCATGATTCCATTTATGTAACACTTGTGCAGTAACATAGTTTTATAGGTAGAGACTGGGTTAATGGCTGCTCAGAGCTGGGGAAGTGTGCGGAGGGGGTGGGGAGCACAAGGGTACGGTTAAGGATCTTGATTGTTGCGGTAATTACAGGAAGTTGCACACATGACAAAATTGCATACCACCACATCCACACACACACACACACACACACACACACAGGCACAAGTAAATCAAATACGTGCATGGCAACTAGTAAACTCTGAGTAAGTCCTATGTGCCAGTGTCAGTGTCCTGAGTCCTACAGTAACAAAAGACGTTAGCGTTGTTGGGGACTGACTGTGGGAGACGAGCCCGTATACAGGATCCTATATATATAGGATCTATATAGAAAATAGAACCACCATATGATCCGGCAATTCCAGTCCTGGGAATATACCCAAAGGAAATGAAAACACTGGCTGGAAAAGGTGTCCACACCCCGTGTTTACTGCAGCATTGTCCACAGCAGCCAAGACATGGAAGCAGCCAACACACACGCCCATGGATGGATGAACGGATGAAGAGGTGTGTGTAGATACACAGAATAGTGCTCGGCCATTAAAAAAGCAAACAACAGGGACACCTGGGTGGCTCAGCAGTTGAGTGTCTGCCTTCGGCTCAGGGGGTGATCCCAGAGTTCCGGGATCGGGTCCTACATCAGGATCCTGCATGGAACCTGCTTCTCCTCCCTCTGCTTGTGCCTCTGCCTCTCTCTCTCTGGCTCTCATGAATAAATAAACTATTTTTTTTAAAAAAAAGCAAACAACAACAAAATAAAACAAGGGAAGTAAGTCAGAGGAAGACCAATGCCATATGCTCTCATGTATACTTGGAACCTGAAAGAACCAAACTCAGAGACACTCTTCGATTCATCTTTCTGGTCAGAGAGTGCCCTCTGGGCATTGCCCACCACCTTCTCACAGCAGGGTAAGCCTTGGTATTCAATCCCCCGAGGCCTCAGACTCGGGCTGTGGAAAGGAATCCACCTGGATTTCATGAAAGGAAACATTGAAAAATGATAGGAAGCCCGTTTTCAATGCCACGGCACACGGCTTTCTGAAATCTCCACTGCCACCTTTGCCCGTGGGCCTGCTAGTCCTTGGGAAGAGACACTCCCGTGTCCTATTGGAGTTGACTTTGTGTTTTGTTGGTGGTGGGCCTGGATCAGTGTGGTGAAACACCACACTGGGGCTTTCCCTGTACAGATGGTGGGCTATTTTTAGAACCACAGGGTCATTTCCCAGGCAGCTACCACTTGTTGGCAAGACATGCCACCCCCCCACCCTGCTTTCCTCCTTGGTAGCAGAAGATGGCCATAGATATCAGCTTAAATCCTTCAGCTTTTACTTGGACGTCTCTACTCTTGGGAGAGGGCTTCAGTTCCCCACATTCCAAAGTGGCCTCATCTTCCTGGACAATATCCACCTGACACCCACTTCTGCAGCCTGAATGAGAGCTTTGGTGCTTATACCTGTAGGCCTTCATGATCATCTCAGTCCTGAAGAGACAGGAAGTCCTACGGCATCAGAACTTTGAGGGTTGGGGATACTATTATAAGTAGGACCCTGTCACAGCCACTGGCTGTACCACAGCTCTCCCCATACTTACTTTAGGCTAATGGCCAGACCTAGAATACAGTCAGGAGAAGATGCTCCTCGTGGCCATCCCCTATGGGTCAAATGCACTGCAGACTCCAGGCTGACCCTTCACAGGCTGTACTATCTCCTAGAACACCATTACCAACACCCCTCCCCCACCAGAAAAAAAAAGAGAGACAAAAGAGGATTTTGAAAATCTTCGTATGTCAGCATCAGTGACCTGGGTTAGTAGAGGGCAGGAGACCGTTGTAGGGGAAGCACAGAAAGTCTGCCCCCCACAGTGTTGCTAAAAATCCAGGGAAAGATGACTTTTCCTCCTCAAGTTTCCATGAACCTGAGGGGGGGTGGTTGTTGCATATTTAACTGGATCTGTTCCTGAAGCCTCAGGGTCCCTGCCTCCAGTGAGTATGAGATGCCTCCAAACAAGACCCGCTGTCAAGGAAAGTTATCTGTTGCCTTCACGACTCTTTCCATTCCTCTGACAATCTCCTCCATCCTGGTGACACAAGAGGCAGGAAGGTAGAAGTTCAAAAAAATTCTGGGAGGGCTGCAAGATTTAATGTTTGGGAGGTCCCACTTATGCTAATCTCAGAACCTTCACCCCCTAGTGTGGATACAGTTTCATGAGTTCCCCTTCTCTCGGTTCTCATGAGCCTCTGGGTACAATGGTGCCCTAAGACAGAAAGCTATGAGATGCCTGGCTCGATGAGCATTGTCTCGGCAGCCTCTTTAGCCAAAGGCTACTGGGATGAGTTCTCCTGCTCGGCAGGTCATGGCTGTTCTGAGGACACATCAATCCCTACCTCTGAAATCTGCCCCTTCTCTTGGGTTTGGGTGAGCAGCCCAACCCTCCCCAGAAGGGACGGATGCTCCAGACAGCAGGAACCTGCTTTCAAATCTTAGAGGGCCTATATTCTCTTGTTTGGATAATAAACTGGCAAGAGCCCACCGGATTTCCTCTCATGGCTTAAAATTGTAATCAATAAATAGAAGAGTATTTTTTAAAAAGCTATTAAAAACAGAGCTATTAAAAAGCTCTATGAAGAGCTTTTAATAGAAAGTTCTATTTTTCAGGAATCTCTCCTTTGAAAATATGTAATTGCCCATCACTATGCTGCCGAGCCTTTGTACTGCCCAGCCATGGGCAAGTGGCTCTTAATCTGATGTTCCTGGATCACTTCTGAAAGTTTTGAATCTCCCAATTACCTGAAAAATTCTTCTACTTTTGTGTTTGTGTATCTGGGGGAGGGTAAAGTGTCTACACATTATAGCAAGATCCCAAGGAGCGCATAATAATGAAAAGCCATCACATTTGCTCTCAACTTATTTTATGTCATTGGTTCATGGTTGGAGTGGTCCAGCGGCATCATTTCTTTCCTGCCTCTGATCCTGCTATTCACCCCCGTCTCTGTCACACAATCTTGTTCTTCCTCAGACATTGCTTTGACTTAATTAAGCACTTTCCTCTCTTTCTCCCATGGATTGGAAGCTTACCCAGATCGTGTACTTGTCCTCACTTATAGAGGGTGAAGCATCAAAGAGGTTGCAAGATAGAACGCATATGGAAGCATGTGGGAGTGACTTCTCCGGTACCTTCCCTTCTCCCACAAGGTCAACAAGTCAGGCCTGGAGTCTGAGCCCTCAGATGCTGCTCCCTCCAGCTTGCTGCTCCCCAGAGACCCTAAATGTGAATCAGCAGGGAAAGGCCTGCACTTGTCAGCCTAGATAAGCTTTGGCTTACTCCAACTCCTGTGCACACTCTGTATGTTTGGAGCACACCTACTGAGAAGTCATGAATGTCTACAGCCAGGTTACAAAGAGCTACCTCTGGAAGCTGGATCTGAAATTGTCAGCCAGCAAGTGTTCATTTGTCTTGTTTATTTCTTTTTTTCCAGTATTGCTCCCGAGAGTAGCTGACTAGAGAGGATCCAGGTGTTCTGTTTTGTCTTATCCCAGGGATCAACCCACTGATGATGGCATTGGGTGGAAATGGGCAGATTCCAACATAAAGAGAGAAAGACTTTTGGTGGGAAGGAGCTTCTAATGCTGGTGTAACTTTTTCTCCCCCACTAGTCACTCACCCACCACACCCCAGATGCATCCTGTGCCTTCTCTGCTGCTCTGTGCCCTGGGAGGCTGACACCTGCCGCCACTGGCATCAGCCAGCCTCTCTGGCTTCTTCCTGCGCCCTGGACACAGGAAGAGAAGAGCAAGGTCAGGCTTTCTGCCTTCCTTCTCAGCTCTGGCACCTGTCTCTGGCAGTAACTATCTCCCTTCCAGTCACAACTCCACCTGCAAACCGGTGGCCCCAGTTCTCATAGGGCTTTTCCAATGATCCTCCTCCCCATGCCGACTCACCACTGCCACAGCACCCCACCACAGCTGGTCTCTGGGTGGCCTTAACCCTTCAAGCCTGTTCACATCTAGTAGGCAGTTCCTTCATTCAGTCCCTTCTTTTAACCACCAGAGTGGATTCTATTTCCAGCCAGATACAAAGGCTCTCTTCTTAACTTTATTCTTGAACTCTGGAGTGTGAGGGGACAGATCTGAGCTGTCCTGTGTGTGCTAAGGCACTTCGGATCACTTCCAGGTAGTTCAGAGCTAATGCCTCAGGTTAATACCCCAGGATGCTCATATGACTTCTGCCATTCTGCACACATCTGTGTGCAACATCTCATTGGCAGAGGTGACTTGGGTGGGAGTGGGATCGCATTCTCCTGATCCCCTGGATCAGGAGTGCCCGTTTGTCTCCTCCTGTGGTCTGGGTGGGTCTCTGTAGAGCAGCATCCATGCACGCTGGAAGGTGTGTCAGCGTTAGGAGCTGTGCAACAAGCCATACACACTGAGCCGCAGCAGCAGGTTCCTCTTTCCCTTTGAAAGAGACCAGGCATGTGATTTGGATCTTGGCAGGGTCAGAACTCAGTCAAAATTCTCTGAAAACCAAAAAGAGTTAGAAAGCTTCCCTAAGAGGATTTTAGGCACAGGGTGAAGACACCTTACATTTTAAGGAGCATTTCTGATCGATACACATACATCTGAGTAACTCTGTGAAAGAGAACATTTATATTCTCAGCACCCATGGGGCTAAGGGTGGGAACAATGCTGACTGGCAAACAGAGAGCTTTCCTACTTCCTTTTTTATTTTTCTATAAAATCCCTGCTGAGCCACAGTTCCCAATCCTGGCTTCACAGTCCATGGGGATAGACGCCGCTCTAGGACCTGAGCTGCCTCTTACCATCGTTGGGAGAACATCTCACTGCCAATCTCATGTTGCTGTGGCCACTGCTTCTGCTCCTCAGTGAGTAAGATGCTGGAGCAGGACTCGGGTGGAGCCGGGGCAGAACCACCTGTGCCCAGGCATCCCAGAACCTGCTCTTGAGCACACATCTCTCTAATGGGATGAGTAAGGAGGCACCCCAGCTTCTAACTCAGGACCAGTAGGCATCATTGAGCAGAGCAGGTTCCCAGGAAAACAAAGGACTATGCATCTCTTTTGCAAACACTAACGCCCTTCTCTCTTTTGAAAACACCCATTTCTGCTTCTATCTCTGGGAAAATCAGAACACTTCTTAAAGGGATATCAGAGGAATGTTCTCTTAGGGCAAAGTATATTTCCAGCCTGCTGAAATCCTACTCTTCCCAGCCCCACTCTCACACCAAGCAACCATGTCCGGGGGGACTCATGTCTTACTCCCCTTGCCTTACACTTTGGAGTGGCTTCAAGTCCTGCCAACTGTAGATGAGACCACAGCTTCTGCTGATAAATCTGACCCTTGCACATGGATGTGAACACAGGGCTAGATGAGGAATAGGGAAGGAGGGAGAAACAGCATCCATGAGATGCGAGTGGCCACCTCGGGTTCTTCCTGGCTTCCGTGTGGCCAGCAGGCAGGCAACCTGTCTTAAACAAGAGTCAGTCTTAAAAAGAAGGTGTGAGAGGAGCACATACAGCATGAGACGTCTTGAGAATTTGGCAACCTAGTAATCAGCTCTGGTGGTGGGAGGAGAGGCTGTTTATGAGCCTTTTTGGGGTCTTGAGCACTTGATTCTATGGGAGGTTGTGAATGAGGGAAGGAAGCAAGCAGAGCAAGAGGGAGAAAGGATAAGCGGAATGAGAGGAGGAGGATGGAAGGGACGAGAAGTGGGGGTAGAGGGAAGAAGGCATGGAGGAAAGGGGGCAGAGAGACTGGCTGGGGAGGGGGCTGGAGGTCACAACGTCCCTAGAAAGTCTGCAGCCTCTGGGCCAGTGGTAATCTCTGCCTCTTCTCTTGCAGCTGCTGCGGGTGTGCAGTCTGGTGAGTTATCCTCTTTGTTCTTCTCCGACTCTGGGAGGCTCCCTCTGCCGGCGAGGCAGGTGCTACCTGTCTCACCTCCCAGCTGGGGCTGCAAGGACCAGGGCCAGCACTGGGGTGGGGGTGAGTGGGAGGCTGGTCCCCACTGGGCAGTTCGGTCTCTGCACCACTACCTGCCTGCCTGATGAGCTAAAGGTGTGACCCAACCCTGTCAAGGCAGTGAAATCTCTTCTTGCTGCTGAGCCCTGGGACCAGAGAGAAGTTACCCAAGAAGGGAGAGGAAACCTTACACAGTTACTGTTGGGTAAACATTCTCCTGGTTCTGGACCCCCAACTGCACCAGAGGCTGTGACGGAAAACACATTTACCACAGAGAGGCAACCAGAGGCAAGGGAGAAGCTCTACCTAAAACAGGACCATCTCCTGAACATTTCCTTTGTTTTGTTTTTTTTAATTAATTTATTTATTTATGATAGTCACAGAGAGAGAGAGAGAGAGAGAGAGAGAGAGAGGCAGACATAGGCAGAGGGAGAAGCAGGCTCCATGCACCGGGAGCCCGACGTGGGATTCGATCCCGGGTCTCCAGGATCACGCCCTGGGCCAAAGGCAGGCGCCAAACCGCTGCGCCACCCAGGGATCCCTGAACATTTCCTTTGATGGCAAAAGAATCACACCTAACTTGTTTCATATTATAGGACTGGAAAGTTACATTTTCTCCTTTAATTTCTCCTTCAAGGAAGTATTCACTCTCCTACAAGAAAGGGAGTAGAGGGCATCCTTACATATCTGATACTTTGATATCTGATGATACAAACTGTATTACAACTGTCCTGACTTGAAGCAAGAATGTTCTCTGGACTATCCTAGGATCCAGTGAGATGGGGTGTGTGTGTGTGTGTGTATGTGTGTGTGTGTGTGTGTGTGTGTGTGTGTGAAGGTTTTGCCTTGTTCTGGGGAATGGGTCTGTAAGTCCAACATCGAAGTTAAAGCCTCTCCCCCAAGTATCTCCCAGCCAGATCCTGGTTCCAGACTCAAGAGTCATCTCTTACCTATCTCTAGCCCTGCCATTACCCTGAACCCAGTCACACGAGTCTTCTTTCTAATTCTTTAATCAAATTAACTTCATCTTTATCATTTTCCCTGAAAACCTTGCCCAATCTCCATGTGGAGGAAGAAAACTTTTGGCCTCCAGGAAGGCTCAAGACGTGTCTCTCTCTTGGTGCTTCTGACCCACTGCCGTGCCCGCCTCCTGGTCCCCCGGTGAGACTTCTGAAGTTGCCGAGCAGTCCAGGGGAACCAGTGGTCTCTGAACTTATTAAGAACAAAAATTCTAAGCATGCACATGCAACATGTTCCATAAATAGAGATCCCTAGAGGGAAATAATGTGTGCATTGCAAAATACATGAAAAATTGAAAAGATGAAAATTGAAAAGATGAGAAAATGCTTTATATGATATCAAGTCCCACCTCTTTATGGATTCCACTTTGGAGATTCGACCAAGAGCCCATGCGAGGGTGGTCGGCCTTCTGAGGCAGTACCCTGAGAGCTAGCATACCCTCCCTCCATCGTAAACTCACAGCTACAGAGCAGAGCCTTCGTATGAAACAAACACTCCTGGCCTTACCTCTTTCTACATCCTCTTCCTCTGTCCAACTCTGCCTCTCTTTACACTGAAGGGGGATGAATGATCCAAAGTCAGGCCTGGGATTAGGCTTTTTTATTGGAACATCTCTGCAATTCAGCCCAATGCACTATGATTCTAAACTGAAATTTGAACCTGAATTTCTAGCTAAGTTTTCAGCTGAAGAAATTTCCCCCCAAAAGCCCCAGGCTGCAGGGCTGGGTCATAGCGTATGGGGCTGGCTCTCCTTTCTCTGCACAAACTTGGAACTTCCAGCCTCAGCAGCCTGTTGGTTTCATTCCCCTGCTGGGGCAGATCCAAACACCATGCTGCCCTCAGCTCTGGGGACCAGTCTCCTCCAAGGCGAGGAGCCCACTCCTACTCAAAGAGGCCATCCAGCAAAGGATTCTCAGAAGCCTCTGTAAAAGGTACTGATCCTCCAGCCCCAAGGTTACTGTCCCAGCAGATGGATTGTTTCTGTAGAGAGAAGACAATAAAGAAAGTGTTTGAATTGTACCACTAGGCTGAGCCTCCAAGGAGTGAGAGATGCAGAGAAAGTTGATCCTGGCTGCCACAGGAACATGTCACCTTGAATCCGTACAGAGATACAAGTGTCATTCAAAAATGACAAAATTTGGTCTGGAAATGGGATTGAAACCTTTAAAACAGACATAACAGGATATACGGACGATGTCACTAAGGGTTCCCAAGGGATCTGTCCTGTGCAGCTGTGTGTGTGTGTGTCTGTGTGTGCACAAGTGCACACATCATCCTCCCTGCCCCGTGTGAGTGGGAGTCAGGGTGCCGGGACCGGGCAGGGTGTCCTGCTCGCACTGCGGGTGTTTGACATCTTTTGCAGACTGGCTGAGCATTGACATGCCCAGCTACGCCTATGAAGGAGACGAGGTGGTTGTGAAGTGCTCTGGGGAAAGGAATAACAGAATAAGGACACTGACGTACTACAAGGATGGATCCCTGTTAGCCACTTACCACAATCTCTCGAGCTATATCATTTCCAACGCAAGACCCAGCGACAGCGGCTCTTATTCCTGTGAGGCGGACAGAATATTCTTCTTTGTATATAAGACAGAAAAAACAAGATCTGTATGGCTTACTGTCCAGGGTGAGACCTCAGTATTCAAGGGCCTGTGATTTGGGGGGGGGGGCACCAGGGTGCAGGGTAGGGAATACCAACCCAGGAGGGAGAAAGGAAGGGTGGCTGTGTGTCCTTGGGTCTGGGTCTGTGAGTCCTGCTCACTGGACACCTCTTGGACGGCTCTCCACACTCCCAGACGGCTGACCTATTTCATCTCTTCCTCCAGACCTGTTTCCACCCCCCACACTGACAATCCGGCCCATTGAGGGGAGCTCAGTGACCGTGTCCTGTGACACCTGGCTTCCCTGGAACAGGTCAGACACGCAGCTTCACTACTCCTTCTTCAGGGATGACCACACCCTGATATCAAACGGGAGCTCATCAGAGTTTCAGATCCCGGCCATAGGGAAGGGGGACTCGGGATACTACTGGTGTGAGGTGGCTACAACGTCCCACAGCGTCTTGAAGCAAGGTCAGCGGTCCCACGTGCTCGTGCAGAGTGAGTCCCAGGGGCAGCCCTGCAGGCTGGGTCGGGCAGAGAAAAGCAGGGCGCCCCTGGGGAGACCTGGGTCTCTTCTTTCCTGCTGTGTTTCCCCTGTCCCTGTGGGCATGGCAGGTATGTGGCCATAGGGATCCCCGCTCCCCAGGCTCTGCTCTGTCAGTAGCGACAGGAGGAGAAGCACCATTTCCCTAGAGCTCTACTCTCCCAGTCAGCAAAGTGATCATTATAAGCTCTCCCTGGAGCACCTTCTGCAGGACACTGAGTATGCTCAGCACACACAAGATAAATAACCATCATCTCCATCCTCAAGGAGCTGTCACCAGCCAGGAGGCACCCTAAAGCCAAGGAGAGCCACGGAGGAACAGGGAACAGTAGTCACAGTAACAGGAGTGGCAGAAAGAGCCCCCAGCACTGATACAACACTTCTTGAATGCCGGGCCTGAGGCCAGGGGGCTGTGCTCAGTCCCAGAAGAACAACTCTGGCACCCAGAGATCCCTGTTTCACACACGAGGAAATGGAAAGCACAGAATAGCCAAGCAACCTGCCCAGGGTAACCCAGCATGTAAGCAGCACAGCTGAAATGGGAACCCAGACACACTGGTGCCAGCATCTGCCCTTGTAGCCACCTGATACACCCTGCTCAGCCATGTGGGTGATGAACAATGTGGACAATGGCTGCCAGTTGCTGGACACCTCCTCCAGTGTGACATCCAGTGCGACACCTCCAGTGTGCCCCTCAGTGTGACACCTCCAGTGTGACATCCAGTGCAACTCTTCCAGTGTGACCCCCAACGCAACAGCTCCAGTGTGACAGCTCCAGTGTGACCCCTAGTATGGCCTCCAGTTTGACACCTCCTGTGCCACAGCTGCTATGGATGGATTCCACCTTCATCGTCATGCGAGCTCTGTCAAGCTACTACGAGTCTCTGCGCTCTATGAGGAAACTCAGAGTCAGAGAGATTAACAGATGCACCAAGATCATGTGATGAATAAGAGGCAGACCCAGCCTGTGTTCCTCCTGCCGTCCAGCTGTCCTACCGTCCTGCTGTCCTGCCTCCCTGGCATGTTGGAAATGAGGAGGCAGCAAGGTCACTGAGGGCTGGTCATTATTGAGGGCTGATGAGTGTGAAGGAAGAGCAAGGCCGCAGTTTGGAGCGTAGGGTGTGGGGTGGGCCTGCCGGGGACCTCAGCATGCTCCCTCCCCACCAAACACTCAGGTTCCAGCAACTGCACATGCTCAGAAGCACAACAGGACACCACCTCCACCCCAGACTCTCACCTGCCCTCTCGTGTCCATGCAGGGGTCCCAGTATCCGGAGTGCTCCTGGAAACCCAGCCCCAGGGGGGCCAGGCGCTTGCAGGGGAGCCTCTGGTCCTCGTGTGTTCCGTGGCTGAAGGCACAGGGGACATAGCATTCTCCTGGCACAGAGAGGACACGGGGGAGCATCTGGGGAGGAAGCAGCAGCGTTCCCAGAGAGCAGAGCTGGAGATCCCTGCTGTCGGGGAGAGCCACATGGGGCGCTACTACTGCACGGCCGACAACGGCCACGGCCTCGCCCGCAGCGGAGCCCTGAACGTCACTGTCAGAGGTGAGCAACACTCCTAATTAGCCCGTGATCCCAACAGTCTCCTTCTGTGGCCCTGAGGGTGTGCCGGGATAGCGAGGGGCAGGGCTGTGAAGAGGTTAAGACGCCGTCTGAACACGGCAGGATATCTCTGATAGTGGTGGTGACAGGGGCAGGTGAGCCAGGGGAGGGGGCAAGGGGACACGACGCATGCAGGGACAGAGAACTCATGGGCTGGAGGAGCCCTGCGAGGACCCCAGGATGAGGACAGAGTGGGCTGTAAGTCCGTCCAGCAGGAAAGACGCTCTCTGACGGAGCCCCCTGTCTCCCTCAGCCCCAGCATCCCGCCCCGTCCTCACCCTCAGGGTGCCCGGGACTCGGGCCGTGGTGGGGGACGTGATGGAGCTTCACTGCGAGGCCCACAGGGGCTCTCCCCCGATCCTGTACCGGTTTTATTACGACGATGTGTTCCTGGGGAGCCGCTCGGCCACCTCTGGAGGAGGAGCATCCTTCAAACTCTTTCTGACTGCAGAACATTCCGGAAACTACTCATGTGAGGCTGACAACGGCCTGGGGGCCCAGCGCAGCGAGGCTATAACACTCAGCGTCACAGGTAGGACACGGCTGTATCGCCCTCTAGACGACCAGGTGCGGTCCACCGTGCATCCTTTCTGCTGGATGATCCGGCCGCCGGGAACTGGCCTTCTGGCCTCAGGGCTCCACTTGGCGTGGGCCTCAGCACCTCATCCCCGCCCACCATCGCCTGCCCCCTGGCTCCTCGGGAGCCGGGAGCCGGGGTGCAACCTGTTTGCAGGGCTCTGTGCTGGGACCCGGCCGCTCTGGCAGTGGGGTCCGCGGGGTGCGCAGGGAACCAGGGGATCACTGCACGCCCAAGGCTCACGGTGGGCACGAGCTTCCACTAGCCTCGTCAATGCTCAGGAAACAGTGGGAAAACCACCAACAGATTCAGGAATCTGAATTTTTATCTGGATTGTCTCACTCAAGCTCTTATTTTACTGACAAGAAAATGAGATTTAGATTCAGTACCTTTGCCAGGTCACCCTGCCACTGGGCGCAAAGGTGGAGCTGGAAGCGAGGGTCAGGAAACTGCCCCACCAGCCAGCATCACAGTGATCCCACGTTTCCCCTCTAACATGTCACTGTGGGGGCGGTCCTCCCCTGCGACAGCCATCCGGTTCCTGCTGAGCCCTCCTTAGTCACCACGTCCTCGAGGCCAGTAGCTACATACGAATTGCTGACATCTTAGTTCAATTTTTTGCATCCTTACGTACAAATGAGTTTTCTGTTTTGAACCATCCTCCTCTGGTTTTGGTGTCAGGGAGAGGTCAGCCTCGTAGGCATGATTTCAGCAGCGCCGTGTAGTTGCTGTGCCCTGCAGCAGGTTTAAAACGGTGCTGGATTCTCCAGCCGCCTGAAAAGTCTCCAGAATCAGCCTGAAGGACTTGCCAAGCTGTGAGACCTTGACCCCCATCATCAGATCTGCTTTTTTTTTTTATTCTTCTTTCTAATTTTTTTATCTTTTATTAAATTAGTTTGGATATCTTTGTCCAAAGAGTTGGGCATTTTATGCAGATTTTCATATTCATCACATCATGTTAACCAGTCCCTCTCATCCAATTTTATAGAGCATCCACATTCGTGATAAAGCTCTCTGCTTAATTCCAACCCATTTGTATGGCTTCTTTCTGAAGCAGACCGGCCCAGGATGATCTCTTTTGTGGATCTTTTTTGAGAGCCAGTCACAGTTTTAAAACTCAAATCTATTTGGGTTTTGGTTTTCTAGTTCATTTACTTCTCCTTCACCTTCAGTATATCTTTCCTCCTCTTTGCTTTAGGCTTATTCTATGTTGCTCCTTCTTCAACTTCTCAAATAAATGCTTATTTACTCTTTATCTTTATTTGCAGGTAGTAAATGCATCCAAAGCACATGTTTCGGGACTCCTGGGTGGCTCAGTGGTTGAGTATCTGCCTTCAGCTCAGGTTGTGATCCTGGGGTCCTGGGATCGAGTCCCACATCAGGCTCCCCGCAGGGAGCCTGCTTCTCCCTCTGCCTATGTCTCTGCCTCTCTCTCTCTTTCTGTGTCTCTCATGAATAAATAAATAAAATCTTTTTAAAAAATAAGGCAGATGTTTCTTCTAAGTACTGTTTTCATCCTCCCTTAGAAGTTTCGATGGCTAACATTTTCATTTGTTTAATTTCTAAAGTATGTAGGATATGGGTTTTCATTTCTTTTATAATTGGAGACTTACAATTTCTTACAAATAGTTTTCATATTTATCCTTTCATTTGTTAATTTCTTCTAGATTTCTTCATAGTCCTTGTGGTTAAACTTGATTGAAGAATATAGCCTACATGACTTTTACTTTTGGGAACTTACTAAGAATGTTTTTATGGCCTAACACATAGTTGGCATCTTTGTGAATGCTGTACATGGAATTCGAGTTTATTTTATTTATTTATTTATTTATTTATTTATTTATTTATTTATTTATTATTTGAGAGAGAGAGGGAGTGAGTCTGAGCAGGGGAAAGGGCAGAGGGAGAGGGACAGCAGACTTCCCCCTGAACACAGAGCCCGACATGGAGCTCCATCCCATGATCCTGAGACCACGACCTGAGCCAAAACCAAGAGTCAGATGCTCAACCGACTGAGCCACTCAGATACCCCTCTATACGGAATTTGAAAAGAATGTGAATTTTCTTTCTGGGATGTTCAAAGCTCAGTGTTTATTTTTCTATTAGATGAAGCTAGTTGCTTATCTATTCAGTCTCCACAGCGTCTTACACATGCTTGATCCTTTCAATCTATGAGTTTCTGAGAATCACATTCACATTTTACCTATAATTCTTCTAGGTTTTCTGTTTCTGCAGGGGCTCTGCCATGAATTTGGTATTTGACTATGTCAGAAGGGGCACTTTGATTGCAAATGACAGAAATTCTGTACAAATTGTCTGGGGCCAGAGAAAAACAAGTGCAGGTGATACGAGAGTCAGGACTGGACCTGTCTTAGTGTGCAGCTGGCTCTTACGATCCTGTCTTTGCCTTCCGGCTCTCTGCTGGGTCTCTCCATCATTTTTGTTCTCAGAAGGGAGGCTGGTCGCTGACAGCTCTGCCCTCCAACCCTCCTCTGCTGGAGACCCTCCAGAAAATGCCTCCTTACAAATCACTCCGGTTCAGAAAAGCAAACAAATGGGCAGAGCACAGACTAACCCTGTGGCATGCTCATCCCCCTGCAGAGGGAGCGGGCTTGGCATCGGTGAGGCCAGCAATGGGGGTGGAGGGGGTCTTAGAAGAAACCAGACAGCTCAGCCCACTGGAGTACTGGAGCCCTCAGCCTCCATCTCTAGAGAAGACCTCATTCTAGCCTTCTTCTGTTTTTCTAAGATCTTTCTGAGCTCCTGAAAACCAAGACATAAATTCCTATGTCCCTACTTCCTTTGGCTTCAGAACGCAGGGCTGCTTTTCCCAGGGGTCTTTAGGTGGGGCTGCCCTTAGGAAATGGATTCCCTCCATCAGCAGGCCTCTACCCCACCCCACCCCACCCCACCTCACCCCTGCAGACAGCCTCTCCCAGCACTGAGAGCTGCCAGAAGACCACAGTTCTGAGTGTGCTCTGACCCCTCCTGTTTGCAGAGCCCCCACCCAAAATCCGCTTGATAAATGGTCCCCACCGCTGTGAAGGGCTGGTGCAGGTGGAACGGGAAGGTCACTGGGGCACTGTGTGTGATGACGGCTGGGACACGAAGGACGTGGCTGTGGTGTGCCGGGAGCTGGGCTGTGGAGCGGCCAAGCACACGCCCCCGGGCAAGCTGTACCCGCCGCTGCCAGAGGAGGACCAGCCCATATTTATTCAAGTGGCCCTGTGCAACGGGACCGAGAACACGCTGGCTGAATGTGAGCAGATTGAGATGTTTGACTGTGAGCACAGCGAGGATGCAGGAGCAGTGTGTGAAGGTGCGTAAGGCAGAGCATGGGGTGGGAACTGGCCTTCCAGCTCTGAGAACCTGGTCTCCGCTGCCACCGGCAGGCCTCCTTACTGTTCACCACGCCTGCCCCTTCCTCAGAGCCGCTCACCTGTTGGACACACGGGGGTGGTCAGGACACAGCTTATGTGAGATTAGCCCAGGGTCGCACAGGACTCTCCTGTGTGCTCCGTTATCACCCCATATCTCCCATCTCAAAAGACAGAAGCTTTTGTGTAAAAACACTGATGTTCTCATAGCTGTGAACTGGAGCATAATAGTAGGGAAGTGATGACGAGGCCCCAGAATTGCAGAATTTGAGTGATTTTACTCCAGGCCACGCTGCTTATATTGCTTTGCCATCCCATCAGCGCTTCTGAGGCCTCTCCCTGAAACAACTCACTCGTCAGAATCATTCCCGGAATCAGAGGCAAGCTGGGCTGGCTGGGGAAGACCCTGGCCGAGTTGGGGGGGGCGGCGGGGAGAAAAGTCAGAAAGACTCTGGGCCCAAGGACACCAGCCCACAAAGCATCACAGAGAGGGTTCCCTGACAGTAGGGCATGACTGGGTGGAGGCCAGCGGGACCTCACGTCCGTCCCCAGCCCACGGCTTTGCTGGAGCACCCCAGCCCCTCGGGCCAGGAGTAGGGGAGCAGCTTTGGGGAGTCCTGTGGACAGACGAAGGTCTTCAGAACCACTGGACCAGTGTCGGGTGTCAGGAGCACATAAAGGCCTGCGGCTTGTTCAGGGACATGGCATCAGAGTTGGGCACCGGGAGGGATCTGGGATTTGGGGTCAGCTGTGCAGGGCTTCAGGCCTGTCTCCCCCACTCCCCAGCCATTCAAGTAGCAAACTTTTCTGACACTCACTATCTCTATTGGAGAAGTGGGACAATACCTGGTCCCACACCCTCATGGAACTGGGGCAGATCAAACACTCATCACTCATAGAGACGTCTCGTGAAGAGCAAGGTCTGGGAGGAGGCCCCAACTGCAGATTTGGGACAGTCTCCACTGGAGGGTGGGCCTGGGGCTGGGACCGATCCTCTTCCTTACTCTGGGCCTCACTTCTCAGGGGAGACCCCTGATTTCTCTGGACAAGCCCTTCCTGGACCGTCCCCTCCTAACCACCTTCTTTCTTCTCTCTGCAGCATTCTTGCCCCATTTTACTTGAAGACCACAGGCCTCAGCTTCTCTCCCCTGAGGCCTTACATGCCAGGTGGGCCTGAACCCTTCACCTGTGACTCCCACGGCCCCTCAGCAGGACTACACCAGCGCCTCAACCCACCTGTATTTGGGGCCACACCCAGCTCCCAAAGGAGCCAAATTTGGTGACACCCTGGCCCAGACCCTGCATGTTCCAGCCTCTTCTCAGGGATCTTTGGGAAGTTCCAGTGCTGTCTCCTTGGAGAGCTGTGGCATCTCCTGAGGACAGGACAAACCAGGAATGAATTGAGATGGGCCCTGCATCTGCTAGAAATGTGGGCATGTAAAACAGACAAAATAAAAGAAAATGTGGGCATTTCAGTTCCATCCTCTTTTTTTTCTTTAAGATTTATTTATTCTAGAGAAAGAGAGCAAGTGGAGGGAGGGGCAGAGGCAGTGGGGAAGAATCTCAAGCAGACTCTGTGCTGGCCGAGTAGCTGGACGTGGGGCTGGATCCCACAACCCTGAGATCATGACCTGAGCCGGAATCAAGAGTCAGACACTCAGCCAACCGAGCCACCCAGGCACCCCGGCATTTCCATTCTAAGTGTCTTGTGAAGAAACTAGCTTTTAAAATTTTTCTTTTTAAAACACTTTCTTAAGTTACACATATAAAACACATTAGACAAACAAGAAAGGAAAAATCAGCCAAGATCCTAATATCTAGAAGTAACTGCTGTTATTATGCTGATTCTTCTAAAGCATTTTTTTATGAATGTATGAGTATATTTGAATGATGGTATAGTTGTGAGTTTATTGTACTGTAAACCACATGTTACTTTATTCTGCTTATTAAATTTAACAACACAACGTTAACAGACATTTTATATACGGGTGTGTGAGAGTGTGTGTGTACATAGGTTTTAAGCTAAAACATTTGATATTAGGTATAGATCCATTTCTTTTTCTCCACAGAGTAAACCAGTTTTCCCAACATAATGTACTAAAGAAGCCATGCATTACCATTATTTTGTGGTGTCAATTTTTAGTCTTCTTACATACATGGGGACTATTTATGATGTCTCTGTTCCATTGTTTTGCTTAATTTTGCACATACGCTATGCTGCTTTTGTTACTCTGGCCTTCTAATATGTTAATATCTGATAACATAAGACCCTTCATTGTTATTCTTATCAAAGTTAATTTTTTTGTCAAAAATGTTTACTAAAGTCTTTTACAGATTTTTATTATTCTATAAAAATTTTAGAGTAAGGATGTTGAATTGCTCAAACTGTCCAAATGGGATTTTTATTGGGATTTTCCTGAATTTATAGATTAATTGGAGAGAGGCAGGGGTAGTGAGCCTTCTCACATCCCCATTCATCTGCATTGTCTGGCCTGGTTAGAAAATAGAGCAAGTCAGCTTACCCTTGGTACCTGCCATGGTAGCTTTAGACCTGGCAAATGATTCTCGCCTTTACTCCTCTTGGGGGAGACCACCCAAAGCATCTGCAGTGGTTGACCACTGTCCTACCAACTCTTCAGCCCTCTCTCATCTAATTACAAGAAACATGGTCATCTTCTCTGGTCCACAGGGCATCATACTGGTCCACAGAGGTCCATCAGCAGGCCACAGAGGCCACAACGGAGTGGTCCCCGAACACCCCATGGGAAAGAACTGGGAGCCACAGTTCACACACCTGGAGCATTACAGGAGAGAGACAGGATAAACCAGAGCAGAGAGGAGACGATGTCATGGAGACACATTTGGGCTTGAGATAAGTGTGGAAACATGAGAAGAAAGAGGGATTTAGGACCCTTGGGAGTATCTTTCACATGAGGGTTAATATCCTCCAGTATCATTCTCCTCCCCACTGCCCCCCAAGATCTACCCAGGGGGCACCCAGGTGCATGCCCAGTGATGTCACCATAGTTGCCCACCCTCACCATCCTGGGGAAATCGGAGCTCCTGGAATGAGTTCTGGAATCTGGAGGTCATGTGTTCCTAAGCAAGGAGGTAAGGTTCTGCCCCTTCCACAGAAATATGCTCAAAACTGACTCTCATTTTGTGTAGTGGATGCTGTGATGCCCCTCAGCTCCTGTGTCAGAGTCCAGGATTTATTTCCCCCATTGCTGAGATATCTACCAGCTGAGCGCTCAGTCATCAGCCCTCTAGAGAGAGTGCCTTGACCATGTCATTCAGGATCACTATCCTTTCCCACAACAGGGCATCCAATAGCTGGTGAACATGAGGCATAAGAGTAAGGCTCCTTTACACAACTCGGAACCACTCTGAGAGACTGTCTCAACCTCAAGTTGTCTCTGGGGCTGGCCAAGACCTTCGCAGAGATGCTTCCAAGCCCAGCTTCTGCTTCTCCCACTGCACAAGTTTGCTCCCTTCCTATGATAATTCCTTTTTAAATTTATTTATTTATTTATTTATTTATTTATTTATTTATTTATTTATTTGACAGAAATAGAGAGTGAGTATTCTCACTCCCTCACAAAAGGAGAGGGGGACAAGCAGACTCCCTGCTGGGCAGGGAGCCCCATGCAGGGCTCTATCCCAGGACCTGGAAATCACGACCTGAGCCAAAGGCAGACAACTGAGCGACCCAGACACCCCTCTCTGACAATTCTTGATACTGAGAGCACTCTCTAATAAAATTCTTCATGCTAATTTCCATGTGAGGGTCTGCTGCTCTGGAAACAAAACCTGTGACATCATGTACTCACCTGTGATCCCCACATCTAGAGTGATCACTGTGTCCCCCCACCACTCTTTCCCCAGAGCAGGAGAGGCTTGTCCCTTTAGTGGCTGTGGTCTGAGGGGATGACACATGTTCCTGGTGCAGAGCAGTAGAGAGAAAGTCTGAGAAAGAGCACCCCATATTTCTAGAGCATGAACCATTGATCCCTGTCGAGAGGGAGGATGATGCTGTACATCCCATCACCATATGTTTAGCAGATGGGTAAATAACACCATAAGAAGTACACTTCCATTCATTCATCTCAACTAGCAATTCCCAAATCCAGGGCAGTGTTCCCAGGGGGTCATGAGAATATTTCACTGAGGACCCAGAGAGTGATCCTACAGATCTCAATTAGCTACTTGATATGGTGAGCTTGTTACAAGCTAGCTCCGTGGTGCTGCTGCTGTTATGTATGGTGACAGGAAGGAGGGTATTGAAGACACCAGGAAGAGTGCCATGCAAAATCTATGGACATCCAGAACTCAGGACCATTATATTGGATAATACTGTCCAAAGTTCCTCCTAACAGGCCTAGGGGTGATCCTTCTGGGTGCAAAGTCATGACTGTGGGATGTTGCATATTAAGAGCTGACTGCTAGAGCACTTGGGTGGCTCAATTTGTTAAGGGTCTGCCTTCAGCTCAAGTCATGATCCCAGGGTCCTGGGATTGAGCCCCTGCATTGGGTTCCCTACTCGGCAAGGAGTCTGCTTCTCCCTCTCTTGTTCTCTCTCAAACATATAAAATCTTAAAAAAGAAAAAGAGCTGACTGCTGACCTACTCTAAGCATCTTGGGTAGGTGGAGAGATAGACTATATATTTGTGGAAGAAACAGGGGCCTCCTCTGATGGCTCCTTTGTCTCTGTCATGCCCAGGGTCTCATCTGTCATAGCCCTCAGTGCTCCTGGGGTCCAAAATGACATGGGTCCATGGTAGAACTTCACTACAAGGCCTAAAGGGGCTCTCCCACAAGCCTGTATCATGAGCATGTCACTCTGGGAAACATTGAAGCATTTCTTGAAGGAGCATCCTTCAACCTCTCTCTGACCACAGAACATTCTGGGAACTACTCCTGTGAGGTTGACAGTGGCCCCAGGACCCAGTGCAGTGGGGCAGTTATTGGAAAATCAAGAGGATCTGACCTCTGGTTGACCCATGGGGGTGGGGGTGGGGAGGTGATGGCTTTTCTGTGACCAGGTAGGGAAAATGAGCACCATCGCCCCCAATCTGGCCCTCAGGTAGCACCTGTGTGGTACTCAGAGGGTCAAGACATTCACTCCCTCACAGACTGGATTACTCTGTCCTGCAGAGAGGCTTGGTCCAATGAGCGGCACTTTCTTGCAGATCTGTAGACAAGGTACAACAAATTCTTAGGGAGTTGGGAGTGGGACAGGACCCCTACAGTCCTTCTTTGAAGGCCCTGATGGAGCACATTCACTACAGTGATGAAAGCCAAGATTCTCCAGTCCACCCCAGTACCTGGTGTAGGACGCTGATATCCATGCTGAGTCCAGTCCTGGAACAGGACACTTATGACATTGGACAATCATTGTTGATCTGGAGAAGACTGACAAATCCCAGGAATGGATGCAGGCTGTGGGAAAGACCCAAGACAGAGTATGAACTCGAAATCCAGGAGGCTATTCAGTGTCTGGTAAAAATAACCTGGAAGCAAATGTGGTTTGGCCTCATTTAGGTGAGAACCCGACTGAAACAGACAGACAGCCTAACCCTGTGTTGATCAGCCTATGGAAAGCCTTAAAACCTGAAGAACTCAGACCTGCCCTTCTGCCTCTAACTTCCCTGCATCTCCCAAGCAGGGCTACCATTAGAGTTAGAAGTGTCTGTGACTCTGGAAAGTATTGATTGGGCATTGTAGCAGAGACAACAGAAGGAGAGGGTTCCCTAGCACTTTTGCCCCAGCTCTAGAAGGGGCAGAAGCCAGATATGCCCCCATAGTGCAGCAGCTCCTACCAGTGGGCACAGCATTCCTCCAGCTGGAGCCTCTCTCTAAGGGACAGCATATCATGGTGAGAACTCTCCTGCCTGTCAAGTGTGGGGTGAGAATATGTTCCAGCAACCCACCTCTGCTGTGGTTCAAACCCACTTCATGACTAAGTGACACTTCTGTTTGCAGCTGAGGTGCACCCTATGCACCAGTCCTCTGTCTCCAGAAATGCAGTGCTACTAAGCCCTGTGGAAATAGCAGATTCACCAGATGCCCCTGCCCTACTTCTGTGCTGAACCCTGCAGCCTGTAGTGAGAGAGTGGGGAAATTCTGGCTGATGCCTGGTACCCAGAGGATCTAGTTCGGACAATCCATCCACAAGGACTGTGGTCACTATTCAGCCCAACACTGACACCATTTGGGTAAAAACAAGAACAAACCAGAGCAGCTAGTGGACTGAGCTCAGAGTGGTCTGATCACTCCTGAGCCCTGAAAATTAGCCCTTTGCACAGATAGTTGGGCTCTTCTAAAGGGATGAGCCCCATGGCTTGGACAATGGGAATGCGAAGGGTGGTTCATCATGAGTGCACCCTTATGGGATCAGGATGTGTGGGAGACATTGGAGTTTGCCTGCAAGAGCCTGAGGTGATCCTCACTGTCTTCCATGTCC